TTCGGTCCGCCAGATTGCCCGGAGGCGCCCCGGAAATATCGAGAAAGCGGAGAACCTAGGGCCGGCCTCGAACATTTGTTTCCGGGAATTTTGCCTTCCATCTCCGATAGTTCAACAGAAAATTGACCCCCCGCCCCAAATCCCCATATAGGGCTTTATTGAGTAGTCCGGGATGAGGGTGGAGGACTTGCTTTTTTAGTGACAAGGGAACACTAGGATGTTCGGCCCACGTAATATATCCATGGTAGTTGTGACTGGGGGAAACTAAGGTTAGTTCCCTTAGTAGGGTTTAGGACCTACTTACTAAGTAGTGCCCTTTCACGAGTCGCGGGCTTCAGACTTCCGCCAGGCTTGTGCTGCAGCCGCCTGGGCAACGGCACCATGGACTGCCGCTTGGCAAGAACATGTGGTCTCCACGGCTTGAGCCAAAGGCTGGGTAGAAGTGAACGGCACCCTTTTCCAACGGGAAGTGCAAGGGACATGCAAGGACCCACCATCATTTGTACAGCGGAAGGGGCCGCCACCTGCTTTTTGGCAATCAGCCGTAAAATCATGGAAAACCAAAACAAGCAACAACTTGGCAGACAAAAGCTCAGGCAAGTCATCTCCTTTCATTTCCCTGTCAGGATTACCCATAAAAACGGGGGGGGGGGGAAATCTCGCAGACAAAAGCTCAGGCACTCAACCTCCTTTCACTCCCCCTCAGGATTGGTTTTTTGGTTCGTTTGGTTTGTTTTCGGTTTCCTCGAAGTCTTGGCATTCCTGCATTTGCGCTCTGATTTTGCGAGTCGAACTTGCTCTCAGTCGCCCCTCTCTGCTCCGAGATGGCCATCGGGGGAACTAGGAAACACCAACGGAATATTAGGGGAAGAACCAAAACAATCAACGATGTGGCAGACAAAAGCTCAGGCAAGTCATCTCCTTTCATTTCCCCCTCAGGATTGTGTTGCTTTGTGTTTTTGGTTTTCTTCGAGGAACCCCCCCAAAAAAAGAAGAACAATCTGGCAGACAACAGCTCAGGCACTCAACCTCCTTTCATTTCCAAAATTGGGGGAATACTTGGATAATACTAGGGGAATACCGAGGGAATACTTGCAGGGAATACAACTGGAATCCTTGGAGAATATAGATTGCTAGAAAATGGGGGAGAGGAAAGATGCTTGGAAGTGGATGGCCTCAAACCCCGCATGTGTGAGTAAAAGTGCATCCATCCATGCCAAGGCGAAAAAAGGCTAATTGCCAAAACACAGGCCCATGGCGGCCTGCTCTCTTGTACAGATTGATCACAAATATAGTACAAATATCCATGAAACCAAGCATTTGAAGGTTTGTCAGCTTGGCACATTGAGAAGGCTAGAGGGGCTGTGTGAAACCAGGGACCCCAGCGGTTGGTTTCATGTCGGTTCGTTCAAATCGTCAGGAACGGAGTCCGGGGTGTTGACTTGTTCCCGCTGCTAAAGCTGGAAACCGGCTCCTGGGCTTAATCAGGGTGCAAGGGCTAAGGTCCAACAAACAAGCCTGCAAAGCCAAACTAAATTCCATCTTCCTCTAAACAATAAAGAACTTGAAGCCACTAGTTTGACCCCTTTTTTGGACAAGTTTGTGTGTGTGTGTGTGAAGGCGAAAGGGTAGAACCCACATTTCCAAACGGACCCGAAAACTCGCCTCGCTTCGCCGCTCATGGGGCGATCTGAGGCATTGTCACGGTCTACGCTTGCAGGCACACCAGCCCGCTGCAAACTCTGGTTCGCAATGTGTGATTTGAGAAAACCTACCTGCAATGGGGGCCCTTTCTTTGGCTGGTTGGGAAGGAAGCCACCACTCCCACATTCGCGGGCAGCCCGCATTTGTTGCAAACCTGCTTCCTTGCTTGGCTGAGGTGAATTGAAAGCTTTTAGTACGAACCCACGGAACCTGAAAGCCACCCCGGCCTTGAGACATTTTGTCAGGGAACTGACTCCGTTTTTGGTTTGTTTGCTTCCTTGGTTTGCTTTCAGAGGTGTCTTCGTGACCGCCCGAACAGTTGAGACTTCGTGGAGTCAGCTGTAAAGTAATTGATGTCTCAGTCGAGGGGCTTATAGCCGGGGTTTCGATTGGAGCTTCCCTCGAAAGCCAGCAAGAGCAAGATGCGCTTTGCCATGACTGGGCAAGTCAGATTTCTGCTTCCTCCATGGAATTCAGTCTGATAGCAACCTCAGCCGGGGAGTGGAACTTGTTTGGGATCCAGTCACCGTTGAATTCAGCCTAGTCTTGGAGTGGGGCGACCGCGTGCAATGAAGTTTCTGAGATTTGTTGGTCTGAACCTTCTTCTCTTGATCATGACTTTTCCCAGGATTTTAAATGGTCTACGAGTCTACTATCGTAGGCGTCTGGTTGCTAGAAGGTGTTAACTTGACGTTCTGTATGATCAATCAAAGTGTAAAAAGAACTTCCGTGGTGCGGCAACTAATTGAAAGATAGCTTTGTGACACAGATTGGCCACATTGCAAACTAATTGAAAGCTCCTTTGCGGGGTTCGAATCTTTGGTATGGTCAAAAGTTAGCCTGATCCCGACGCCTGTTCGGAGCACGCTTGGACCACTTTCGAGCGATCTCGGAACACGTTCGGAGCCGGGCCTGTTGGCACGGACGCGCGCTTGCTTCTCGCAACATGAGTTTGCACTTTCAGGCGCAGCACTTTTGCAAGGTCAGGTACAGATTTCGTGGCAGGCGTACGCAGCAGGCACTTTCGCGCGGTCATGGTCAGATTTCGTGGCACTGAGCAGGCTGTCATTGGGCTCATGACCTTGTGCAAGTGCTGCGCATGCCACGAAAGCTGTGCCTGACCTTGTGAAAATGGTTATCCTGTGAGCAAGTGTCTTAATTGTACCGCGGTGGGTGTCGTTGAATCTCTCGTCGTTTTACTGTGCTGTGCGTTTTGCACATGGGCACTCATCTCTGCATGTTGTACCCTTTGCAGGTGGGGGGGTGGGTCGGAGATGCTGCACAATGGATGTAGCAACCTTTGTTTTCACCAGGCCTTTTGGCAGCGCATGTGCGCGGCCTGATGAGGAACCGTAAGGGCTACACAATTTGTGCGTGCCCACAATTGCCCACACATTCAATTTTTGAAGGTGGCTCCGGCTATCCCAGTACTTCCCAGCTGGCGGCCATCTGGCCCTTGTACTCCTGACTCCTCCTCCTGACTCCTCTTGATTGCAATGTTCTACCTGGGAGCACTTGCTTCCGGGCTTGCGAATTGCGATTCGCAAGAGACTCCTGCACATACTCGGCGTCGTTTTGGTTTCAATCTAAAGAAACCCGAACAGAGGATTCACCCAGATTAGCAAATAAAACTGAGTCCACCGGTTGTGATCACCAGTGCCAGGCGTGATCCGGTACCATAGCTCTTGACGCAAGTCGAACCAGGCGGGCTCCTGACTTTTTGGTCAACGCTCAGTGGCCATATCCTCGGAGACACACTAGCAGGTCAAGGACATGTTGAGGAACTTGCCCTCGTGGCCCTCATGTATCAACACCCCTAAAGATAGTCTTGCCGTTGTCGTTTTTCCAGTGACCTGAGGAGAGAGGGCTTGCCCCGTCATCTCCCTCAACTTTGAGAACTTCGAACCACCAATGGAGAACGATCTAGCATAACCAGAACGGCACTGTCACAAGGTTGCTTGAGTTGGCATTCACCACGGGTTCATGGAAGGTTACGCAACATGATGTAACCATTCTTAGGACAGGCAAAAGTTGATGTTTTCAGGAGCAACCACAGCAGCTCACGTTTGCTCGCACGTGCAAAGTGGAAGAGGAAGGGAGGGATAGGATGGGGGAAGGGGAGGAAGGGAGGATTGATCACCACACCCCTTGTTCAAACTGATTTGGTGGAAGGGCAGACGACGCCACAAAATGGAAGTACGTTTGTGCTGATTGATGGGGCATTTAGCACCCCACCAACTGACGCGCCCCACCCTCTTGTTAGTTGCGTGTACTTGGGACTTCCCCCCTCTTCCCCCCCCCCCCACCCAAACCATTCATTCCAGTCACTTTCTGTTCAGGGCTCCCCCATTGAAACATTATTTGGCGGCAGTATCTTTTGGTCGTCAATTTCGAGCGAGCTTTCCTTGGCTTTGGCCAGGTATAAAGGGAAGGTGTCAGGACCTATTGTGATTAGGCAACAAGGATCACCGCTTGATTGACCGCTGCTGGTCGATGGACCGGATATTTAGTATCTAGACTTCTTGTTCTTTCCAATGTGTTGAATGCCCTGCTCGGGGATGAACAACAACCATCCCTGGAAACTCGATTTCACGTCGAGAACTTGTCCATGCCAGGCGAATGCACCGCAAAGGCGGGTAAAAAAGCTGCCAGTGCCGAGTGCCATGGGCTTTTGCGGTTGTCCTCCTTCCATGAGGCAGAAGGAACAAATGGTTCTCACCACACTTTAGAAAGTTATGCATAGCCTTGAAGCTGTTGTCTGTTAGCAAATGTTGGCCAATATGTTCGAGTGTTGAACGCAAAGGCTTGCAAACATCTGCAACATTTACAGCCTCAGCTCTGCATTCTAAGTGTCTGCATTCTATAGACTTGGACTTGTGGTTGGTTTGCAAGGCAAAGTTATTTTAAGAGTCTCTGAGTATTTCCGGGAGTGTAACTAGCAGCTCGACAAATGTTGAGCAACATGTTGCCCAATTTATGTATCTTTTCCTAGCTGGTGTTGCAAGATGTGCAAACAAGAATGAGTGGCAGGATGCGGTTCCTATTTGCGACGGAGTCGGTCTTGGAGGTAGTTTGACATGTTCCCCCCCCACCAATTAGCACGGAACCTGACAGGGACCCGGAACGTAGGGCTCCATGTTCATTGGTGGGAGCATTTATTTGGTGGTTCTCAGCCATGCCCCTAGGTTTTGTTCGCAGTTGAGTTGGTTTCGTGGTAGCTTCCGAATTTTTAACCCACAAGTTAGTCACTTTTGGATCCGACAACGGACAGCCCAGGTTCCCCGTGGCTTTCCGAGGTGCCCAAAAGCCGCCGGGCGGTGCAGATCGCCTCTCGGCCAGGCGTGTGCGGGTTGTGTAGCTCAGGCGAATGGTCTCAAGCGGAGGCCCAATTTGGGATTCCTTGTGGATTCCTTTTGGGTTGGCCGTTTCATTGTTTTAGGTCTTTGAAACAAGATGGGGTCTGGTTGTTTTTTCAGGGTACCCTTTTTGTTTTGGTTTGAAAGGGAAGCCAAAGGGAAAACCACATTTTTGGCGAGTCCCATAAGAAGGACACACCCATGTATCCTCCAGCCATTTGGATCCTCAACACATTCTCATCCAGAAATGGGTTCGCTTTAGGCTGGTGTCAAATTCACTGAAAGGTCCGAATCACATGGCTTATGGATTTCTAGCATGGGCCAAAGGTTCCCCATTCTCAGATTTGGGAAGAGCGTCATGTACCAATGACCCAGATCAGCCTGTGAAAGAAGAAGTTTTGCGCAAATCCACCCAATTGGGGGGCATGTCGTTTGCAGAATTGCTTGATTTGACGCTTGGTGTTGGCAAGCGCCTGTATCATTTGATAGTAGGTCGCACAATTTAGATAGTCACGCAATTCTTCTTGTTGTGTGTTGGTGAGAGTGTTCAAACGTTGGGCATTGAATCAGGGCAGTACAATTCCACTAATTCGCCTTTGCGGGTGCCACCCAAGCTTAATAGGGGAGCTGCATACCGTCAAATCGTGACGGGCTTGGAGGTCTTCCTTGGCGTGCCTGCAACAGCTCTCAAAGCTGTACATCTTGCATTCCACATCCATGAAGGATGAGACTTTGCACAAGGTTTTCCAAGGAGAATGACTGAGTGTGGTAGCCTGCCAACTATATTCAACCTTGCAGGAAACAACGTTTGTCTCATTGCCTCCAGTGGCGGTGTGAGTTTCAGGCCTGACGTGTTGACCGTGCTTGTGGTGTTTGAAAGCAACCAGATGGCCATGTCCTTGCGGCACAACATTGAGGACCTGCGACAATATTTGATTGTGTTCCGGGAAGTATCATGAACTTGAAGCGCCAACACGACATGTTTCTGGCTGACATGTGATAATTGATCGGCCTAAAGGGCAGAAGCAAGGAAGTCACAAGATGGCGTTTGGACATGCTTTTCGGAAGTCTGAGATGGCTATGCAACACCTTCTGAGAAAATATGCTTCATTTGCCTGAGCGTACTAGCCTGCTCTTCCGCCTTAGACATTTGGCTCAAGAGAGCACCGTTCCGGAGAGTGGCTAGTACTTTGGTCCTGTTGATTGAGCCCAGTCTTTTGTTCTCGTTTTATTTTTGTTCACACGTTGGATAGATACCGTGAGGACACAGAAATTCCCGCTCTCTACTCTCTACAGCTGCGGGGGGTCCCCCAAAAAGCCGTTGCCTCAAGAAATGTTTGGATTTGAGCTCCGACTCCAAGCTCATGTCTCAGAATCAGGCAGGGAGGTTTGGCCAGCAGCGACTGTTTGCCATCAATTACTTGGCACATGAGCTCTCCCAGGGCCTGACAACCGCCAATAAGCGTTGCCCGTTCTCCCAAAGGTGCAGACCCCCCCTCTTCAGGGGAGCTGCTTGGTTGAGCATCAAGCTGCCCCTGTGAAGAAGCTCTGAAAACGAGGGCCAACTTGAGGGACTTCCAGGAAGGCGGGCAGCACCCAGATTGAGGAAAGGAGGAGGGCACTTGGCGTGACTGTTCGCCTTGGCTCACTGAGCCATCATGGGAGTTTGCAACCCAGCGGGCCTTAGTTCCTCTTGCGTTTTCAAGAAGATTCAGCCGTAAAAGAGAATTAATTTAGCCCTTGTTCAACAGCTTTTTGCTGGTTTTCTAAACAACCAAGGGTCTCATGGGTCTGACACATCCTGGCCTAGCCGGGGGCCGCTGACCCTGGCTCCAAGCCCCCGTTTTGTTGTGAGATCTATGGGTGGCCCGACTTTTTGCTTTTCTCCGCACTTTCGGAGCCCTGTCCTCCGCCAGAAGCAGACGCAGCCCGGGGAGCGGCATCACTATAAGTTCACTCGACTTTGTAGCTTTTACTTGGCCGGCTGGGAGCCTCAGCCTAAACCGCACACCGGAGTCGAGGTCATGATTGACAATCTAATTTTGCATTTTGGGCCCCAGACATAGAGTGACTTGGCAAGATCCCTTTTCCCCAAAACAGTGATTTGCACGGGAGGTTGGCCCCTTTTAAGTGGGCGCCCCAGACATTTTGGAGCCCCTTGCGAGGGGAACCAGATTTCCCGGTCAGCTGCCCCTTGGTCAGTTGCTGATTTGCAGTCCCCGGCAACTCAGCCGCTGTGTTAATTAAGCGAACGTAGTTCACTTGCAGTCAGGACAAATGGCCACAACCGGCAAATGATACAGACAGCCTAAGCACTTGCCTGAGGGATGGCTCCTCGCAGGGGCCCTGTTTGTCAAAGTGAGAAACTGCAGTCATACCTGCTGTTGGCTTTGGTAGAGGAGCTCGTGGTTAGGTCAATGACAATTGGGCGCGACCTTAACAGTGTGACACTAGGCAAGAACAACGGAGAATTTCCTTGTTGATCACGCGCCTGGTCCTGTGTTCCAGACAAAGTTGTTTGTCGCTGTGATTTCAGCTTTACCTTTCACATTTCCCTGGCGATATATCGGAGCAGGAAAAAGTGCCCAGTCCTCCCCCCAAACCTTCGGCACCGGGTTTTGCGGGGAGTTTGGGTCTATGACAGGTTTGCCTGAAGCTCTGCAAGCCCAGTTGTCTTTATCCAAGTCAGGCCAGGTTTCCGGAAAAGTCAGTGAAACCAACAGCCAGGGTTAATAAGTACATACCTTTGTTTGGCGGTTGTAAAACCTCAGCTTGGCCATTTTGGGGCGGTCTATTGCTGGGATGATGTTCAAGGGGAAATCGAACAACACCGAAACCGAGGCACTTGTGCCCGCGGGTCAGAATGCGCTTTCGCGCACAGTGAGACGCAGATCCGCCGCTTGCCTGCGAAATACACGGAGAACAGGTGTCAATGATCTGGGCAAAACGGGATTTGGGGTTCTCATGTTGTTTTCAGGGTCTACGGAAGGCAGGAGGTTCTAGGGAGAAATCAGGAAACGGCTGGCAGCAAAATGGCGCGTCATTTGCCTCTCGTGTGGATTCGTTTCTGCGAAAGCCATGAATTTGATTTGAAGCTTAAAGCATTCGGACCCATGGGTCGTGGATGTCAAACGCAAATCAACACGAAAGTGTTGCCACAGGTTTCGGCCAAAAGGCGGAAATAGTTCTGCCACAGGTGCTTGCAAAGCACTTGGGATCAAGGGAAGGTTCAGGCCCCTTTCGGAGACATGGAGATAGTTTGTCAGGGATTGGCAAGGAACGGAGATCTCGGAAAGTGGCCAGGAGTCTTGCTCGTTCACGCAGCCCGTCTTGAATGTCAGTGTAACCTGATAGTGCCCTCTAAATGGGTTTGGGGGATGTCAGACTCAGGGATGTGTGTTGGGTGTTTTATTTGAAGCTGCCGCTCGATGTCTTCGATGTCTTGAGAATCTTGTGAGACCGGTGAGTGTGATGATGATGATGGTGGTGGTGGTGGTGGTGATGGTGATGGTGATGGTGCTGGTGGTGGTGGTGGTGGTGGTGGTGGTGATGATGATGATGATGATGATGATGATGATGGAGATAATTACTCGGGCAGTCTTAGTAGACAGTTGAACATAGAATTCTCTCGTACTGTATTGAAGCAAGCAACGTTGCTAGCCGCTCATGTTTGTGTGGAGTGGCCATAAGAGAAATGTGCTAATGTGCTGGAACCAAGCAGCTTTGTTTTGCCAGATAGTGATTCGCATTGATACTAACCAAACATGCACGTTTTGGGGTGTACGTCGAGATTTTGTGGCTGTGGACGCAGTTTGCGTGGCTGTCCAATCAGAATGCAAGTGAGCCAAGAAGGAAAGTATCGAATCATTCTAGGGGCAATCCGTGTTCGCAGCACACTTGCCATTTTTAGAGTAAGGGGACAGCATGAGAGAGTGAGACCCCTGGAATTAGACGGTCGGAGATGCTCGGGTGTTGCGCATGCATCTGTGGGATTTATGCGGGGCCCTCCCCGGCGGAAGCGCGGAGCCCCCCATCTTCAATTTGTTTTCAAGCAAGCGGGGCACTACCCAAAGGAACCATTGGCAAGTAACACTTTCAAGGTGTAACCTCAAGAGAAAAGAAAGCTGTGGCTCACCGCGAAAGGCGACAAGCCGGACTTCTACAAAACGCGGCTTTGCAGCGCCTTCAGGCTGGTGTAAGGGGAAGACCGCTTTCGGAAAGGTCCAGATCTTCCGATGTACTTTGAGGGAGACAATGGTTTGATGTCGAAGGAGATCCTGGCACCTAGTTTTAACACCAACGGATCAGGTAGTCTTGAAAGGCCAACCAAATTATGTTAGTAGAGAAACGCGTTTGGCCAGCATTCTTAAATAGCATATGTTGTGGAAGCTGAGTTCGAATTGCAGTATTGAATTGCAATTTGTCCTATTTGCAACTCAGGTGTGTCCCACCACTTCTACAAGTATTTGCTATTTGTTTGCTGTTGTTTGCAAACTGTTGCCATAGTTTGTTGCTGGTTGTTTGGTTTGTTTTCCTATTTTATTGCTGGTTGGTTGCCAACTATTATATATATATATTTATACATATTGCTAAATGCCAATGTCCAGAGAGTACCTGCTAGCGTCATTCTTAAGCCAGTTCCGGGAAAGCTAAGTTGGCCGCCTTATTTGATCCGTTTAAGCAGTCGAGTTTCACCCAGGTTTTCCTTGTCCGGGATGACTTCCTAGTTTCTAATCCAGCAACCATTCACCAGCATGAGGCAGATCTTGTTTCTCCATACCGACTGAGCAAGCTGGCTCGCTAATTGGCGTGCTGTAGCATTGATACATTGATACATGAAGGTATGTGCCAGTTCGGTTGCGTAGTACCAGGTTGCAGCAGCAGGGTACAGCTGGGGACTAGAAAGGACATTGAGCAACACGGACGCAGTGCATAGGGCGCCGTGCAGGGGGACGGAATTATGTTCGCTGTCATTGCCGCACT